AAAAGTAGCACCAAAAAGGGAAGTACTGAATATGAGAAAAGTTCATGGCCTAATTTTTTGGGGATTAATTGTAATTCAAACAAATTCTCAGAGGAAGGAGTTTTCTATGAGCTCTTGAATGCAGCACATGGTCGTGCGCATGTCCTGTCATATGACTCCAGAGGAAAGAGGCGCTGCTCATTTTCCCCACATGAGTGCAGCATTTACCCTTCACCCAGACCTCCCCCTCCCCTTCCCCCCTCTACTTTACATGAAGATAGACTGCTGCTGAATATTTTTCATAGTGCTTCTGAGAGGTGCTCTGAAATACGAGCCTCTAGCATTGAATGTGTAATTCCCAAAGTTTTATGGTTTAAACCACCAAAGCCCATTCAAGGTGACTGCAAAGACACCGGGCAGAGTGCCAGCCAAGATATCAACTGACAATGTCTAAAAGCCTAGTGTTTTTTTTTGTTACCCTCTCTAAGGCCAGCTAAATATGTGTCCCTGTTGGGTCACCTATCGCTTAATACCTACAAGCTGAACATTTTATAACAACTCCAAATTTGCACAAGGGATGCTCCAGAGACGCCCTCTTTGAACTGCACACTGTGCCTGAATGGTGCCCAGCTCTCTCTACCCATGTATCTTTTATAGAGTCTACATAGCATGCATTATTCAGCAATAACACACGGTCCATCTGGACTCCTATGCATGAGTGTGTGGTCTATAGTTAACTTTCCTGCTGTGCGATTTCACCATTTCACGCCACATCCAACAGTGCTTGAAGAGCTATTAGTACTTCCTCTGTAATTACAATTATAATGTGAGTGTGTTTGACAGGGGATGTGTGTGTGAGGGAGAGTGCGAGAGGGGAAGGAAGTAGAGGAAAGAAAGAATAGAAAGTAGTGAGAGTAAGAGTGATAGATTAAGAGAATGTGTAATAGTGACTACAGATGGCACGTTCAGGATCAAGTTCTTTCATCATGCAGTTCCTCATTAATAGAGCGCTGCCCTAATTCCATAATTCCTAAATCATGCCAGTTAGTTGAATACGAGGAGACAAAAATACAGGGTAGAGAGGAATAGATTAGCCTATAGCCCGATAATGTGTCAGTGAGAGCGAGAAATCAACACAGAAAGAGATGAAGAGAGGAGAAGAACGGAGCGGGGTCGCCATCTGCATTTCCTGGCAATTCTTTTTGGTTGTTGCCAAAACCAACATCTTATAGGCCAAATGTATTCTCGCCAATTAATTTCCCACGTGTACGCCAGCCAATGAAAATAGCTTGAATAATCAGGTGATTAATAAGATCTAGAAGACAATACATGGGGATAAAACAGTGTGTGTGTGTGTGTGTGTGTGTGTGTGTGTGTGTGTGTGTGTGTGTGTGTGTGTGTGTGTGTGTGTGTGTGTGTGTGCATGTGTTTCACTGGCACAGCCCAGATCAGCAGTTTCCCATGATTTGAAGCAGCACATCTGTTAAATCCTGGCGCTGTTCCAGTCAGATCACACATCCATCTTTCCTCTCACAAGGATTGAGACACGGGAAGCTTTCAAGGCCACGCTTGATGGGGCTTAATTTTACGTTAGGCCAATCCCACTGGTACCTGATAGTTGTCAGGGCGAAGAATTGGCTGACCAAGCGTGCGTTTCTATATTCACAGATAATTTCATTCCCTCGTCTCCTTTTCACTGAAATCTACTCTTCCTCCGTTTGAATTGGGCTCCCATATGAAGCAATTTGATGGAAACCAGAGACATCGATAGCCATTAGCCCGCTTTTCACTGGAGGGCCAAACATGGACAGCCAAGGTTCATCTATTATTCATGCGCCTCACTTTTCCCCAAAAACAACGTTTCTGATATTCTTTTTGCACCAGCGGCAACTCAGTGGTTTCAAATAACGCTTTCAGAACAGGACTGATAAATGTTTCAAGCTATAGCACTGGCCGGTGCAAGCCCTAATGGGGGGTAAGAGTCTATTGTCCATCTGTCTATTCAAGTCTGGATCTAAAGAAAACCTACTGAGCTCAAAGAGGAGAGGAAACATTTCATATGCAATTTTTTGGGACATTAAGCCTTTAGGCATTAACATAATTTAATGGTTCCATGTCTTGCTCAAGGACATCTGACTTTTGACATACAAGTTTTGGCAAAATGGAGAAATACTTTAAATTAGTACTACATTAAAGTTCTACTTTTGTACAACTACAGACATATTATTTAGAAAAAGGAATTACGAGGTAAAAAAAAAGAGACAGTGCTGGAACACACATTTGCATACCTTTCTTCTCTTATTTTTGCTTTTTTTCTCTCTAAATAATAGAAACATGTTACCTCGTTGGGCCTCAAACATTGATTACAATTAAACAGTATGAAATTATTAGAGGGTAATTATGTTTTTGGTGGAAATTTTAACAACTCATTAGTCAACTTTCTGTCCAACTGCACCAAATATCCAGACTGAGCAGAAAAAAAAAACAATCATGCACACTTTTACTCACTATATGCAAATATTAGGACTTTAAGATAAACAGTTTCTGGTGCTAATTCTGCAATGAAAGTGCATTGCATCTGAAGTGTGACAGGTGCCTCAACTAAACCGATTTTTCGTAAGTGGTCACAGTCCCAAACTGTTGATAACAACATGTTAAATCTTGAACAGTGTATTTTAAAACCTCATCATGTGTATTTAAAAAAATATTTGTTTGTGCTTTTATAAAACCAATGAAAGTGAGAGGGAGACTGGAAATGTTGTGGCTATATCAAACAGAGCTAGAATAAAAACTGGGGACTTGTGTAACAATTTCGGGTAACAAAGATCTCGTATCATATGTTTTTTTAAGGAAAATCTGAAAAGTCAATCATAACTATAGATCTAAAGTACATTTTGTTGAGTTTAAAATATAATATTTCCCTCCAAATGTAGTGAAACAGATGTATGAAGTAGCAGAACATGGAAATACTCAAGTAAAGTAAACAATATGTATGTACAGTTCTTGAGGAAATGCACTTGGTTCTTTTCCATCACTGAGGCCACACTGCTGGAAATCTGATGGAAACAAGAGACGAAAGGTTATCAAGCTATTCAGCCTCCATGTTGTCAGCAGTTCAGATTAGCTGTCACATCACTGAGGGAGAAACAGCTGAAGATTGGAGAAAGTGATTTCATCTGAATAATTTCATGCTTTGACTGGCAGAGCTCAATGCTCACCATCCCAAGACTTAGACGTCGGAAGAAGATAGACTGAGCAAAATAATGTCAAGGTGCAGTCTAATATATGAATATACAATCATGTGTCCTTTGGGAAGAAAAACAAAAACCAATCAAATGAAAATTAATTCACATCTCGGCTAAAGAAATTCCACTCACTTGGATTATTTCGAGTAGACAAAAAAACAATCTTTATTTGTGTGTTTCTCTCCTCGCTCTGACTTCTGTGTTTACTTTTGACTGACTGACTTTAATGACTGAGGTCAGCTCCCACAAAAACATCACAAACAGAAAAGGAGACAAACTCATACATGACGCTCAGACCTGGAGGCATCCTACCACTACCAACCATGGATCACAAACCAGAGAAGAAGAACGATAGAAGGACAGCATCAGTGGAATAGAAGAAGAGAAAACACATTTTTTTTTAATCTTCCACAGGCTATACCCCATCACTGCATCCCACACAGGAGTAATTAACAGTGATTTTAAATGCTACAAAAATAAGATGAAACGTGGAAGGAAGTGCTTCCCCTTGTTTGTGTGTGTTTGTACATGTGTGTATGTGCATGCCATGTCTTTGTAAATGTCTAGATCTGCATGTGCTTTTCTACAAATGCCTGTATGTGTGTGTATCTGTACAATGGTTGCCAAGTGTTTATGTATGTATGTGTGTGTTCACAGTGCTTACTCATAATGTTCACTTCCCAACATTAAAGAAGTCTCAGTCCCATGACACACACACACTTTCTCCTCCGATCCCTCTCTCTCTGTGCAGTTCCCTTTATAGTCATGTCCATAAATGCTCCAAAAAAATCTCAGAGGAACCGTCCCATTATCAAAGACTGTGTTCGTGTGCTTGTATGTGTGTGTGCATGCGCGTTTTTGTGATGCTACCACACAAACACACACACTTCGCCTCATTTGCCACAGTCTATGCGCTTCCCTTATTGGTTTAACCCTCGGACCCAGGACCAGCTTCAGTCAGTATTTATGTCCATTGTGATCTAGCCTGGGCTCCGAGGGCTGATTTCCAGTCAGTTTCACCCTGTGGGTCCATTTATCTCACGCCCAAGCTAATCCATCAACGACCGAAAGCCAGACAGAGGAAACGGTGTGAGGAGAGAGGTTGATTATTCCTTCTTTTGATGTCTGAAAAAAGGGAGAGCACGAGAGCGGTAGCAGGGTGTTTCTGATTTTCCCCCATGAAAAAATATATCATCATTACAAACGAGATCTGAAGGTTTCACAGTGGTCATGCAACTTGAGTGTCGCCTCCTTTTATTACCTGTTTGTCTTCGTTCACTCTCCTCCTGCCCGCCCACACCATCCCTCAAAAAAACCCAGAGCCAGTCCGAGACAAAGGTACTGTAAGTGACCACAGTCATAATAATAATACAGAAAGACAAAGAGGTGGGTGACCAGTGGTACATTCATACATGAAAAAGTCATGGTTCCAAAAGTCACCCGACCCAATCGACATTAGTCAGTGCTGAATACACCTGTGCTAGCCAGGCTGTGATAAATGCTTTGTTTAGAAACATGAATAAGACAGAACACATCCCACCAGAAAATATACACCTTGCCCAACCCACCCAGAACTACACACACCCCACCCTCCCTCTGAAACAGGCTATGATTATACTTGTCCTTTTAAATGTGTATCGTCTCACAAAAAAAAAAAGTCAAACTGTTTGCTTTTTATATCACACTGCTGTAAACTGAGTCTAAACACATATACCATTACATTTCCCATATGGCCGTCGTTATTTAAATCTGTACCCACATTGTCTACCCTTTCTTTTTTCTGCAGGCCAGGTCACTTTCCTCCTCTCCATCTCTACACGTTCGCTCTGGTTCTCGCTGTACTTGGACCTGGTCCAGGTAGTATAGAATTCCAATTACAATGCAAGCTTGGCCACTTCCAATTCTTGGTTTGACAATGGGATAGCAATGTGAGAAAAATCCAATTTTTGTGCATCCAGGCCTATCGCTTAATGCATCCTGCCGTGATTGGATGATAGGAATTGCGCTGGAAGGACAAATTTAATCATAGCCGCGGCTACATCTACCCCATCAGTGGCCAAGAGTCAATAGACAAATCAAAAGGACCCCTTGATATGAGTGCAGAGTCATTCCCCTTGTGTTTTTCAGCCGGGAGTCGCTGGTCCACCCAGACTTCAGGGATCAGGGATGGAGCACAGCTTCCCACACAGCTGGAGCCCCAACCCTCTCAGCCAGGCCGGGGGACGGTGTCCGTGGCTGGGCCATAGAGGGGGCTGGCAGCGGGGGTGGTTGGTGGTCGTATAGAGGTGGAGGTGGGAGAGGGGGAAGGGGGGGACGGAGACAGAGGGCTTCCCTGAGGGGTGGTGGATTTAGAGGGACAGCCAGCCCAGCCCAGCGACCCTGGGTGGGAGCTCCAGGAGGAGAGGGAGAGGGGTCACAGCCAGGAGAAGACTCCCAGGAGCAGAGAGGCCAGAACAGCTAACAGGGCCACGGACCCTGGCCTCCGGCACGGACCTCCGTCAGTCAAGAAGGGCTCCGGAGAATCATATCCCGACCCATCTGAAACAGAAAAAGAGAGAAACGACAAAACATCTGAACTGAGAGGGACACACAGACAGACACCAAGACAAGACAATCTAAAACAAAGCGAATAGAGGAGGGAGTGGATTTACAGAAAGACAAAAGGGTAGACAAGTAGAACTATTACGGGGGGGATGTGGAAATGGAGTGAAAAACTACAAAACTCTCACGCTTCAAAAGCCAGGAAAAATGGCAGGGAGTAGACGAGAGAGAGGGATGAGGGGAGAGGAAGGGGGAGAAGACGACAGCAACTGAGCTCTGCAGGGGGTTTAACCAACCTAATTACAGTTTAATCACAGAGGCTCAGAATCTGGCAGCAGCTGACACACACACACACACACACACACACACACACACACACACACACACACACACACACACACACACACACACACACACACACACACACACACACACACACACACACACACACACACACACACACACACAAAGACACACATCCTCTCACACACATGTGCTCTGAGCTCCGCCAGTGACAATATTTCACAGATGAGACGGAAGTTGCATGTCAGACAGATTGCTTTAAGAGCACAAAAAAGCAGAATCTCACAGAGGAGCCAAATGACAGAATAAAAGAACGTATGTTGTTTCAGTGATTACGGAGGAGAAGAGATTTTCCTTCCCCCTTAGCGAGAGATGGAATGATTTGAGTCTGGAAATCTGCGAAGGCCGACTCATCCTTTTTCACGAAGATTTTCAAAGCCGTGTCATTATCTAGGGAGACGTGTTTCTAGCCAGGTTTGATTCTTTAGTCAGGCTTCGGTTGAAAACTCATGAGGAAGAATCCGCCTTTGAAAAGTCTTACAGGTAGATTTTTTAAGATAAGGCAGGTGTAAGTGGAGCGCCACAATCTGCTCCCCATATATTCTTGAGTTATTTTTAAATGGCACTATCACAGGCCAACACTGTCAGAGGAAGCTATTTTCAAAAGAGTATATCTTATCCGGCTGCATGCTGTTTGGAAGAAAAGACTCTTTTTCCACAAGCCTGATGCATAAGGAGAATTTTATTAAGAAAAATATGAAGTGTCTATTATTAGATTAGGCTTCTACAGTATGCGATGGGTTTATTATTAGATTGCTCTCTTGTTTCTTATGAGCGAATGCAGCCAGCAACGTTTTAACGGAGCACTTTCAGCCTGCTTTCTTTCTACAAGGACAGAAGTTCTCCCTCACACCCACTGTGATGTGATGTGATTTGATGTGAAGTGCGTATGCCACTTTGTGCTTTTGTGTGCATGCGCCTGTGCTCACTTGTGTGTGCTCATATGTGTGAATGTGTGTGTGTGTGTGTGTGTGTGTGTGTGTGTGTGTGTGTGTGGTGTGTGTGTGTGTGTGTGTGTGTGTGTGTGTGTGTGTGTGTGTGTGTGTGTGTGTGTGTGTGTGTGTGAGTGAAAGGTGTTAACGTGTTGCCTGGCTGGCCTGTGAATCAGAGCAGAGAGTGTTGCCGGGGCAATCTATCAGACCTCTTATTCCCCTCTAATTTTACTTTGATAGCCAATCTGGACCTTTTTGCGCATTGGGTCTCAAGGCGTGTGTGTGTGTGTGTGTGTGTGTGTGTGTGTGTGTGTGTGTGTGTGTGTGTGTGTGTGTGTGTGTGTGTGTGTGTGTGTGTGTGTGTGTGTGTGTGTAGTTAAAGCATGACTTACCTGGAGGTCTGACATACACCTTCAGCTTTAGACATGCTCGCCCCACGTGGTTTGGGTGAGGAGACGCTGTTAAAGAAGCAGAGATTGAAAGAGGAGATTAGTTGAGAGATAACGCGATTTGTGCCGCTGATTGAAATCCTAAAGTCATTTAACACTTAAGAAATGTGATATTAGGCTCATAATCAGGTGAGGGCAAAGAGACTAGTGTAAACATACCATTTGACCTGTTTATGAATGAATCAGATTTGGGGTATGAGAATGCTATAGAAAGACAGCATTGGTTTGGGTTTTGAATGGGATTCTTTTTACAATAAGCAAAAAAGGATACACCAGCCTTCTACTAAGGTCACCTAGCTAAATGCCTTTATCCGTTCAGTTGATATTTTAAAAAGTGGCGCCTGTTCTCACACTAATTTAATACTATTCAAATGACCACAAAACAGCTGACACAAGCTGAACCCGGGGCTTTCAAGGTCCCTCAGGAGTCTGACAGGAGGGTCATAGGTTGGATTCCCACAGCAAATCAACACCAAACTTTCATTTAACCCCAATTATTTTTAAGCCACCATACCTATTTATGGGACTGCAGGAAGAAACAAGACATCCTTAGTTAATCACAGATACAATGAAAATCATTACACGTCAGAATGTTCTATTTGGTACATGAATAAATATATTTGTAATTTTTTCTTCTTGTAAAATCACTAATTAATACAGCAAGCAGAACACAAATACACTTCTGTATTTGAATGTCAGAGGTGGTAACTCAAGGGAAGGTATTATGAAGAAACACTCGTTTGTCATAATTTGACATAAATGTATTCATTTAAGCAGCCTATCACTTCCTTGATGACATTTATTGCTTCAAGCTGCCGGAGAGTTTTTTATTTTACGGCCTTTCAAGTTCTCTTAAACCCATGCTCCCGAGCTCATGAGCCCCCCTAAACATTCTGAGCTCTTCAGGCTATGTAAATAAGTCTTTGAGGGATCAGCCCGCACACTGGGATTCAGTCACACTCACATTCATACCTAGGGGAAATACCGGCTCTTCCAATCCACCTGACTTGAATGTCTAAGGAATTGGAAAGGAAATGCATTCAGACTCCCCACAGTCGCAGGTCCTCCTTGCTGTGAGGTGACAGAGCTAACCACTGAGCTACACCGGCTGAATGTTAAAAAAACGTACTGTGATTCAAACTTCAAAGTGTAGTAAATTAAATTGAATCAGGTTTCAACCCCAATTCCCTCTGATGTGAAATAGAGCTGGAGACCTTAAAGCAGATGGTGACCAAATCTTTGACCGCTTGTGCATGCGGGGGGTGCACACACACACACACACACACACACACACACACACACACACACACACACACACACACACACACACACACACACACACACACACACACAAACACACACACAAACACAAACACACACACATGCCAGGATGTGCACACACACACACACTGGTGCTTGCAGACGTGTGTGTGGAGACCTATTGGCCTTCTCCCTTGTGGAAGTCCGTATAGCCAAAGCCCCGTGTGACCCCGGAGAGGACCATCATCAGGATCTGCAGCGCACAGGAAATAAATCTGACCCTTCCTGTGACCCTCTCCTCCCTCGCTTTCTGTCCACTTCTCCTCCCTCCACCCTCTCTCTGCCCTTCACCTCCTTTAACCCTTCCCCGTAGCCCCCCTTCCTTTGCCTCAAATTTCTTCAAATCATCCACCTAGAAACTGTATCTTGGTCACCTATGAAGCCTGGCAAGCTATGAAACAAACTTTCTCTCCTGCTGCGTCCCTTTGTTTTGTGTCCCCTGCTGGTTCACTGACAAATGACTACATTTTGGTGACAAAGAGCTAAGTGGAAAGATATCCCCCATCCCCTCCATCCACCCGTTGTTTCTTTTCTCTGTGACCTCTAAAAATGTTGACTTTTGTCATTTCTTGAAAGCCTTATCAGCTCTTCCAGTGCCTCTGTTTCCCAGCACATCCACAATCCAGCCTCTGCTGAAAAAAGCCATTGAAAATCACTCAACCTCATCAGATGGCAGCTGGGAGAAGTAAAGGGTGGAGCAGACCTGTCAACATGTCAACCTCATGACAAATACACACACCAACGTGCACACACGGGCACACACTCACACAGGTTTGGCCGCACATCCCCATCACAGGTTGATGATGTGTTTTTACTTTGTGTGTGTGTGTGTGTGTGTGTGTGTGTGTGTGTGTGTGTGTGTGTGTGTGTGTGTGTGTGTGTGTGTGTGTGTGTGTGTGTGTGTGTGTGTGTGTGTGTGAGTGTGACAGTGTGTAAGAGCTAGTGAGGGACGGTGAAAGACAAAACATGCAGGGTTGTCAGTCAGGATGATGGACATGGCCTTTCACGGACTCACAATCACTTGACAACTGACCCCACAACCAGTCACACACACACACACACACACACACACACACACACACACACACACACACTCCCTCTCTCAAACACACTC